TGTTTCAGTGGAGAATCAGTCTTTATATTAAGTCGAAAATCATCAAAAACCCTAAGGCATGAGTCGAGCGCGCCTCATTATAAAAGAACGCACACATCTCTGAAAGGTGTCTTGAACGCACATCGCACGGCCAACCCTTCACAAGTTGTACCAGCTGGAACTTCAGAGTGATTCTGCGAACATCTTACTTAGTAGACCTTTGATCTATCTACTGTCAAATTTCTGACGATCTCGATAGCTTCCTTGAAGAGAAATACATCAAAACCCAACATGATGCTAAAACGACCTTCCCTCAGTTCATCGCCTCCAGAGGTCCAGCATTCCAACAAACGTACCCAGTTGAACGGCTTCTTATAGAAAAGATTCGCGCTTTCGAATGGTTTTTTAATCAACTTGAAAGGTTTAGTTTAAGCCGAGATACATGCATTTGAAATTTGGGGTCGGAAAACGACAGAACTTTCTGAAACGCCTAATACGTCAGTTTGGCAAAGGTGCTAGTTGTGTTTCTGTTCTACCGAGTTGAACTCGCCTATAAAGAGAGATTTTCAGCTTACTTTGTATTCTGGTGTAAAGATGGCACTTTCCAAGGTGAGAGAAACCTTGTCCTCCAATGACGAATTATCACTCTTCGGAAACGTCCTGAACCCACAGGACATGTTGCAAAAAGAACTATTCAAAGTTTGTAGTTGTTTAAATACGAACCCTGACACTAGAAGCTTCAAGTCATATGAAAAGTCCATAGAATATCCCCGCATCAGCATATCCAAAGCTTCGGACGCCAGTTCGTCATTCCAAGTCTGTATATGAATTTTGACACCCAAAAAAATAGTATGCTGTTGATCACTTAAAGGGATATTCATGAATACAACTAAATATCTTTACACACTGACCAAACCTCTGGTGTGCTCCTTAATGAACCTCTCATAGATCTTTTCGCACCGTTTCGGCAAAGGTTCTTTCCCTGAAACGGCGCGATGATTTGGCCAAAATTACCGTGAGGTGATGGGTAATACCTTATTGGGCATAGAATTGGTAGCACTTACCCTGAGCGTTGACATTTCCAAGGAACAGCAGGAACAGTCCAAGGATGGGCAACATTTCGAGTGTGACGAACGTCTACTCTCCTTCTCCTTTTATGCAAGTTTATGTAATATAGCTAGAAAATCCTACTGAAAGCACTTTTCAAAACATCACAGAGTGACACGCTCCCGTCGGAAAATTTGTTTTCGAAAAAACCTGCTCACAGCAGTTTTTTCTTCGTTGTCATCACAATGAATATCCACCAAAAGTTGGAAAATTCGCAACTCAGTTTTCATAATCAAATCTGTTTCATCAGTTACGAAATTCTCGTCTATCAAAATTTTGTGGGCAAATTCGAGGTAATACAGCAACGACTGCTACCGATGTATTATATGTATTTGGTCTGGGAACTAATTTTCTAGTGTCGCCAGACCCCACCCCCTCCCTGTTGCAAGGGTCCCGGTCAGGGTCAACCCTGCGTTGCGCAAATTCCAAAATTTTTACGACCCCCTTCCTTTTCGGAGGGTATCGGTACGACCCCCCCCATATTAACTATTATGTCTTTCACATAATTTAATGCTCATCAATTGATGTGTGGGCAGTCACCAACATGGAGAAGTGGTGGACCGTGGTCAATCCGCGCGCTCTTGTCTCGCTCAGAGGAGGGAATCGAGGCAAATGAAGTTTTATTCATTAAATAGAAGGAATTTCCAAATTTTTGCGTAAACCAATACATCATTTTAATCGTAAAGATTTCTACTTTCAGAAACCCACCAGGATTTTTTCGATCTCTCAATTTTCCTTACCTTATAATCTGAAAAACTAAACCTTGTAGCAATTACGTTGCAATCCAAACCCCTCCATTCAGAAGGTTATATTTTCTTTCAGAAGCGGTCTCATGAACGGACACCAAAATTTTAAAAATAAATAGTTTTCTTCCTGAGGAGTATTTGAAATGTTGTGGATGTTCAATATTTCAAAAAATCGTCCCGTTGTTCCGTTTTTTGTGCACACGCGAGTTTTCGACATTCAAACATTCATAACTTTCTTCATAATCAACTTTTTGCAAATGTCTAAGGCTAATTAGAAACTAGAAGATTAGAGCTTTAGAACAAGCATCTGAAAATTTTCCAGCGGTCATTTCGAAAAATAGTCCCGTTGTTCCGTTTTCTGTGCACACGCGAGTTTTTGACATTCAAACATTCATAACTTTCTTCATAATCAACTTTTTGCAGATGTCTAAGGCTAATTAGAAACTAGAAGATTAGAGCTTTCGAACAAGTGCTGAAACTTTTTAAATAATCACTCGCTCAAAAAATAGTCCCGTTGTTCCGTTTTTCCACCTTGATTTTTTTCAAGCCATTTTCCTGGACCGCGACTATGCAGTCTTCAAAGGCCCATAACTTCCTTCAAAATTAATGTGATGAGAAGCGGTAAAGACTGTTGGAATCCACTCGAAGAGTGCTTCATAAACAACAAGGATTCCGGTTGAGTCCCTAGGTTTTGTCCGTGCCGCGTTTATCGGCACCTTTACTGACTGATCTACGACCGTCGGCTGGCAGATTGCTCCCGAAGGTATCGAAAGTCCTCCACTCTTTCGATGGTCTCACCATGGCCGTCCACGATCGGCTCTGCATCCCTCTTCAGAGCTCAGGAACTTGGTCTTCTGACATTCAGCAGGAGCCCACCTCCTGAAAATACTTTCTGCTATTTCTGCGTATAGTACGCCCTTCTTGTTCCGTCATGAGCCCCCCCACCATAAGCTGTATGAGCTACCCTATCCTATTTTAGAATGCCTTTCATGTCGCGATTGGTCTCCCATTTGGATTAACCGCCTTCTCAACCTTCATTTCCCTGTTATCTTGCAAACTACATCCTCAGTCCAGGGTGGAATGAGTCGAGCCATCGCCCCGTGGGTTGTTCGTTTGAAAGAATTGCTCATTTGAAAATATTCTTCTCTTGGCTTCCTCGGAATGACACCATCGCTACTTTTAATAATCGTCATCCCGATGTCTTGAATAGCTTGGTGTGGGCCTTCGGCTAGTTGTAGCCCAACTTTTCTGCTTTTCTTCTACTCAACTTTCGCAGGACGCGCCCATTTCCATGTTGTTTGCTTTGGCAACGGCAGCTTTGGCAAACCCCTTGATACTCTTGTTGACAACGATATTCCCCAAGTTCAACGTCTTCTGCCTGCGCACAGACACACCTTTTTCTCATCGTGACTTGTCGTTTCAGAACCAAGCCGCGTTGTCTTCCCTGATCCTACTTTGCGTCTTGCCAAATACTCCTGATTCACTTGATAAGGTGTCAGTCTTTCATGAGGAATATCACTGTTCAGAACAATTTCCAGCAGCCTGTATTATAGCATTGAAGAATATTACTAAACTAATGGACAACATGAGTCGAATACTCATCGAGAATGGCCGTGGAAGCAGAGACATGAACGGCTAGTGTCCATAATAGGTGCTGGGAGGCATTCCATTGATGATACTTTACCTCTGAATCCATTGCGAAGAATGTCAATCGTGTATTCAAGAGGCCTACAGTTTCGTCCCGCGTTGCGAATTACCACCGACGTTAGCCGCTGCTCACGTCGTCTCTATGGTGCAAATATATGCTGACCACTCTCATATCATCACAAGAATGCTAAGCTGAGTTTGGGCAAAACTTTCGCCCCAGCCGGGAATCCGTACCCAGATCCCTTGCTTTCCCTTTGCAATGTGCTAGCACTTACTAAACCCGGGGCACCATTTCACCCCAGCTCAGCTTTTGACTGTAAGTTACCATAGCTTGCAGCATTCTCACGTATAACAGTGGTATAAAGTGAAGAACCGGCTTGACCGATATCGACAGTCGAACCGCGAGTTGAAAAGTTCTACCTTTTTCGCCGTTTCTTTCGCAAACTTATAGTGGAAGTGAATTACCATTTCACTCTAGCACATCTGCAATTTTGATAGACGAGAATTTCGTAACTGATGAAACAGATTTGATTATGAAAATTGAATTGCGGAGTAATTTTCCAACTTTTGGTGGATATTCATTGTGATGACAACGAAGAAAAAACTGCTGTGAGCAGATTTTCCAAAAACAAATTTTCCGACGGGAGCGTGTCACTCCGTGATGTTTTGAAAAGTGCTTTCAGTAGGATTTTCTAGCTATATTACATAAACTTGCATAAAAGGAGAAGGAGAGTAGACGTTTCGTCACACTCGAAATGTTGTCCATCCTTGGACTGTTCCTGCTGTTCCTTGGAAATGTCAACGCTCAGGGTAAGTGCTACCAATTCTATGCCCGATAAGGTATTACCCATCACCTCACGGTAATTTTGGCCAAATCATCGCGCTGTTTCAGGGAAAGAACCTTTGCCGAAACGGTGCGAAAAGATCTATGAGAGGTTCATTAAGAACCATACCAGAGGTTTGGTCAGTGTGTCAAGAGATTTAGTTGTATTCGTGAGGGCAGTGGAGGAGGGGCTGCTTCTGCTTATGAGGGGGGATAAGGATATTCTGCCGTAGAACATTCATCAACAACGGCATCCTGTGCGACGAAAAATTTGAAATTCGAATGCTCGCCAGTGCAAAGTGACTTTTTTGGCTCCCTGTATGTACAGGGTGTGGCGCCATATCCTTTCAAACATCTGTCAACACTTCCTGTATAAAATGGTTGCCTACAAACTTGGATATTTTCTTCGAAACCTTCCCTACAGAAATGACCCTTGCCCGCATGACATCCTTCAAACTTCATCTCATAATTTTTGAAGAGCAGCTGTTAGCGATCCATCCGAATGTGTTGTTTCGCGCACTTCTTCAGCTTCAATATCGACCACAGTAAATTATTCGCTACATTCAACTTGGAGGTTTTGGTTGGTCAGTCTTTACCAACAAATAGTGTCCGGCCACGCCATCATGTTCAGCTAAAGGGCATAATCATTAGCTATGAATAAAAGGTGATCAGACAAATTTGTCACATTCTGAATGGTTCTCTTTCTCGCACTACTATCGTTTCTCCTTGTCGAAGTCACCGTCCCGAGTGAGCGATGTCCGAGCGCACAGTACGAGCGTACACTGTAGCTAATATCGCTATTACCTTTCAGACCTTTAGAATTATGCTGTTACTCTTCTAGCTAAGCGTGATCAGACAAATTTGTCAAATTCTGGATGGTTCTCTTTCTCGCACTCTATCGTTTCTCCTTGTCCGAGGTCACCGTCCCGAGTGAGCGCTGTTATGTTATAGTATTACAACCCGAACAGCCGATCATCTCAACGGTGTTCTTACAGACTTTTATGCGAAACCCCTCTGCCCGCTAACCTAACATGGTTGTTCAAGGATTGTAATTATTGGTATAACCCATTTCTGGTTAGTTTGAATATGTTAGTCTGGACAAGTTATCCTCCTTAAACATGCTCTGCAACAGCCTGAAAAAACTGCACACAGGTATGGGATAATCGTACGGCTCAATTGGCATTAAACGAGTCAATTACACCACATAGTGTGAAGAATGCCAGTCTCAAGGTCCGAGCGACACAGTACGTATTAGGACTTTGTAAAAATTTTCGCTGTACATTTTAGAAGGCCATTTTGTATATTTAGTGATTTTTGGAGGAAAGACAACAGAACCCTGGAAGAGAAGGTAAACAAAACACTTCAAAGTCGCCTTGAAACGCAAAGGAATGAATGTAAGTTGAAGTTGACACAGGATGCACCATAAGTATGCTCAAAGTATTTATGGCAAAAGGCACAGTTAGAAAAAATACGCAACGAAGCTGCAGATATGAACTATGAATACATTGTTTTAACGGAAGCGTTGCAAAGTCGTTAGGTATTGTTGTCTCCAATCATCTTTTAAAGCTCATAGGTATCACTTCGGGTACACTTCAGCGGTGACACGCAGGTATTATTGGAAGCTCTGACCCAAGGTTTGCGGGTGTCCCCCAAGAGGCCCACCGCGCGGCGAAGGAAGAGACGCAGATGCGGCAAAGGACGAGTCGCAGCGCGTGCTGTGCGATATGAGACGTAGTATGGTACACTCTATTTAACCTGACGCCTAACCGCTACAGTATGCGCTGCGACTCGTCCTTTGCCGCGTCTGCGTCTCTTCCTTCGCCGCGCGGTGGGCCTCTTGGGGGACACCCAAGGTTTGCTTAGAAATTCAACGATGGTGCGAATAAAAAAACGAGTTTCAATCAATGAGTCCACTGCGTTAACGTATCAGAAATATGTCCTTCAGTAGGAACCAGCGAAAAGTTTGGGAAACCGCTGCTGCATATTCATTGTACACAATGAGTCTTCTTTTATCTGTTGTAAAAGTCGTACTTCAGTTATCTTGAAGATTCCGGGAACGTTTCTTTGTCCGCTACAGTATCTCCTTCAATCCTTGCGATTCTCCCCTTGCCTCAATTCGCGACGTCGTGGAGTTCGCTGTTCCTTAGTTAACCGCCGCAAATTGTGCGTATTGCGCCGCATGTTCGTTCCCTGACCACTCCGGCTTCAGTGAGCCTTTCTCTTCCACGACGTCACTCCCGATCCCCTTTCCATTAGTTTCCTTTCCATCCTGTCTCCTAAACAGGCATAGGTCTCGTTCTCCCGTCATTAGATCCCTAGTTCTCGATCTTCAATTGATCTGAATTGATTGATCTCTTCACCAGTTAGTGACTATACCACTCAAAGTCACCTATTCGAACTAGCTTCTTTGGCCGAGGTCCGTTCACTCCTTGGTAGCCCTAACATACCGACCGCAGAACTCGAGCGGGGTTCCGCGCGCCACTCCAGGTGACGTCCAAGCTTTATCACTGGCTTAGACATGGTTATTTGATGGGGTCTGCATCAACCTGCCTGTCAACATTGGCCTGATGCTTGTACTAGAACATTTCCATAATTCATGCAGGCATGGACAAGTTTCGGCAGGTGTCGAACCAGCGGAGCACACAACGACCCTATACTTTTAATCACTCGACTGTCCTTGCGCCATCACGGTGCAACCGTCAACCAAGGACAGTCGTAGTAAGCACGCCTCGCTTCGCTCTTTTCGACGACCTGCCGCTCATCTTTTCACTGGGTGTATTTTCTTTCCTTCTTCTATCTTATCATACCCCTTCGAAACAGTAATGTGATATGTCGAAAAATACGTTTCCGCGGGAAAGTGCCCATGCAATGAAAAATTGTTCCACGTTGGGTAACAGTTTCAATGTTCATAGCCCCTTCATTGTTTGAGTAAGGGGCAAAAATTTTTCATCTATAGTCTCCATTAAAAAAGCAAAGCAGTCAGCAGCAGCAGCCTTGTTGTATGCTCCCCATGCAGGAAAACACTGCCCACAGAGTAAGACGGAAAGCAATTCTTGCCTCGAACTATGGGTTCCTTCATTGAATATCACAGAATGCCGACCAAAATCCCAAAAATGCCTCCTGAAACGAAATTTTAGCTCATGCGATACAAGCTGGATCAAGTATTGATCCAGCTTGTATCGCATAGCTAAAATTGCATGCAATTGCACACAGCTTGCATCGTATAGTATTGTTTTCTTCACCTCAGCGTTACCATTTACGATGGTTAATTGGCTTTTTTGGTTGGAAACTGACGTAAAGAACACGTTTAGGTTACCACCCTCCCATATGGCTCACTATTTGGATGCAATGGCACTTATTATCCAACGGAACCCAGAATGATGACCTCACGGTCGTGTGCCTCTACTTCTTTCGCCTATTTCAATAAATCGCCTGTCTTCGCCTACCACATTCTCATGTTACCGTAGAATGAGGCAAATAAACTCCACTCGTGATAGAGTAAAATGACTTATCCATATTGTTTATTTTTTAATGAAAATGTTGGCAACTTGAAGTCTACAACTTTCACAATACGAAAGCAATCGTCCCGGGCAGAGAAGTTAAGAAAAAACTATGAAAGTTCAACACTATCCAGGCCTTCGAGATAAAGTTGTTATGTACAGCGCTCATTCAGCAAGGTGGACTTGAAAGCAAAAGTAATTATCAAAAAGACGATAATTACGTTCCACAAGAGCGGTAGGTGGTGATCAAAACTTTCGCCACTGACGGAACACGAACCACACCCAATATTCGGGTGAAACTTTTGCAAGGCAAACTGGTGTGTCGGCAAAATCTTTGGCCACAGACTGGACATGAACGAGCGACCCTACATTCGGTGAAATTGCTGCAAGCAAACTGCGGCCAAAACAGCCAGATTAGAAATCAAAAACATCGCCCTCAAGAGTCAGTTGCTAGAGCTTTCCAGCACCGGCCGATGCCACGTGCGAGAGCGAGCTACACGTTCTGTGTTGTGAGTGGTGAACAAACTATGATAATATACCAACATAATAGTAATACCTCCCATTGCGGGACAAAATGGTGCCGGTAGTCGTAAATTGTGCAGGGTAAACTATCATTTTTTAAGATTGCCCGTGGTACGACGGAGAGACCCAGCGCGCATATGCGAGTACACGCAAAATGACAGACTCTACGAAAAGGCACAGATACATGGCTGCTACATAGCGAGCATAGAAGTACCACTTATAGCCGTTACAATAAGAGAGAATTGGCGATGCCTTAGCGCAATTGTTGCCGATTTTCAAGTCGCTTACGGCGCCTCAGGTGATGGAAGCGCAGGCAAAAAAGCAGAGACGCAGACGGTCAGCGGACGAGTCGCAGCGCGCCCTGCAGCAAATGTGCGTCAATTTAAACACGATGTCTTATATGTATGCCCTTGTATTTATGTCCCACATTATTGATATCATTGATGACACCTACACTGCGACGCATAATCTTAGTTCCACCTACAAATTTCCCAAAAACTTGAATCTGGGATGTTTTTGAAAAGGCTCTACAGACAAATTGTGACACATATAAATGCGAATCTGAATATTATCACGGAAATCCAGTTTGAGAAAGCAAAAATTTTTATCCTCATTTTTTCGAAAATACCCGCTTGCCTATGACGCAAAATCATAGTTCCACCACATGTTTCTCCGCTGCATTTTGCTTTTACCCAATCAAATTTTGAAATTATTACCCACTCAAGTTCCTTAGCTTATAGCAGAAAAAAACCGATCTGAGAAAGAAAAACGTTAAGAGAAAGAAAGACGCAAATCAAAAGTCACAAATGAAAGAATGTCACCGCTTCACTCGAACTGGCTGACCTTTAACACATTGCGTACCGCGTGCGCCACATGGTGGCGCACGACATTCCTGCTCCGTGTGGCCGCGTGCGCCACATGGTGGCGCACGATCTTTTCTTCACAACGGTTGACGTTTATTATTTCGTGTTTGTGCAGATATACGATTTATCACTAAGAGGACAACATATTCGAGTGGGACGTCTCTAGATAGTTAATCAGTATTTGTACATGATATTCAAATTAACGCCTAGTTTGGAAATGGAATTTGCTTGACTAAAAAACATTCTTTAAAGCAATTTCAGCAGTCACCGCAATCTAGACGTAATGCAAATGAATTGGAATTATGTGTTGCATCCAGAATCACCAAAAGAAGGTGATGCGCAGCAGAACATCAGCGTTAAGGCGTCATGAGCGCTTTTTCCACCTCACATGTCTTTCGGCGGTATATTTTCGACGCCTCATACTACTAGGCACTCAGAAATACCTATACTCAGAATCATACTCACGATTGCCCTACCCTGGTATCAAATTAGGCGGTAAATGTACGGCAAACTATGGAGTTAACCTACCCACTTCCTGCGATGGTCCGGTGAAGGGTGAAATGCGTCTACAAATATTCTGCAAATCTTAATGATCGTCGCTGCTGTTCAATAAAGATGCTTAAGCAGATTGTGGGGTAATGGAACAAACTTGTTTGCCGTCGCTAGTTTGCACCAGAAAATGGTCAAAGCAGATTTTTGGGTCCATCACTATTGCTGTGGTGTAACTATTCGTTAACTACTAGGAATGTTTATAACAAGCCGAATAGGCAAAAATATGATGCAGTATCATAAAATTGTAACCTAATCTGATTGTAAGAATACAAAAGTGAGAAAGTACCCCTACAAAAGGAATTTCGAAAAATGTCTGCCCCGTGTGGCCGCATGCGCCACCATGTGGCGCACGATGCGCAATGCACGAGCGGCCATGCGAGCTCGCCAGCGCAAAAACGGCTTGGTACGCAATGTGTTAAAGAAACAAATTGCTCGTTTTTCTCTTTGATTTCCTTGGCACGGTACTCATCTCATTCGAATAGTAATCAGGGTTCTTCCCAGAATCATATCCTGTAGCATCCTTGAGAAACTTGTTCGTTATGAAGCCACCCCGACAAATTCTAGCGTGAGCTGACACTTCAACAACTCCTGCGTCTCTTTTGCTAGGGTTTTCCTTTTACGGAAGTTCGACAGCGGTTTTGCTCTGATTCCAGGGGTTCGGTGGCTGTTCCTCCAAAATCACAAATATCAAAGTGGTCTCTAAAAATGTACAGCGAAAATTTTTAGAAATTCCTAATACCTACTGTGTCGCTCGGACCTTGAGACTGGCATTCTTCACACTATGTGGTGTAATTGACTCGTTTAATTGCCAATTGAGCCTACGATTATCCCATATCTGTGTGCAGTTTTTCCAGGCTGTTGCAGAGCAAGTTTAACACGCAGCCCGCGTGCATCGCCGGGTATGCACGAAATTTACGGCAAAGCTGCAGATAATGCCTTCAAATGCAAAGCGCAGCGTAAATCTCCGAATTCTCTGGAGCGCAGGCAAGACTACTCGCTGTTAGTGGCAAGCAAGAGCCACGTTGCAAAAAGCTGCTCCTAGAGATTGGGTTGCAAAGATTCATTTCCAAGAGCTAGTGTGATGTTGATTCGAAGAAAAACAACGGATAGCCACTAGATTTACAAGGCACTCATGAAAGGTGCAGTATGAAATGTTACACAAAAGCGAACGAACAAGATTAGCACGAGAGACTCTGAGTGTTGAAGTCTTCGTTCTTGAGCAGAAGAGGAGGTGAGAGGCAAGTCAAAGATTTTCCACTGTGTACTGACTCCTTGACTTCGGCGACCTGAAATATCATATGATGGAACAGAATGGAGCACGAAAACACTGGCTGATGCCTCAATGTTCTAGTGGATAATTTTTTTGGGAACCCAAAAGAGAAAACATGCTGTGCTTCTCTGTGACTTGAAAATGACGTGGGATTAAATCTTGCTCATAACAGTTATGCTGGGTTATGGCAAACCAGATTTGTCCCCCACAAACGTAGGTATCCCACTTCCATGAACCTTTACTCCTTCCGTTGTGCTTCCTTTCCCTCGTGTCACCAATACCTCTTCACCAACCCTTCCCCTCCGCATGCTGTCCTTTAGCTGCCACTGCAGCACCGCGTAGAATGACCGATAGTAGGCTTTGCTATAAGGCCGCATTCATAGTTTGCGACTCGGGAGCAGGGTCAACCCTATCGTTGTTACTCTTTGGAAATTTTTTACGACCCCCCCCCCTTCATGGGTGATTTGATACGACCCCCCCCCTGTATTGTGCACTGCATTGTGTATTGCATAAGAATAAAAATTTCTTCTGGATGATATGCACACAAAGGGCCACGTGAAACATACCGACACATTTAATACATGGAAAATAGCGGAAAGAATCTTTCTAGAAAAAAATGGTCTCATCCACTAACAGAGGGCATGTGCTGCTGCAGTTATTGCCAGATACAGAAATTCCATTTTTCGCAAAGTGGGAATCCCCAATACCACTTACCGGATGAGACCCAAAATTCCCATAGGTGCAATAATAGGTGTAATGATATAAAAAGTAGAGGTAGCAAAGGAATGAATGCGTATTGATCGCGTTTTGAATGTGCTGAATGGCGCCCATTGGCGTCCTGACGATGGAGCGCGTTTGCTGACCGTGAATAGGCGACGAACGGGGGTTCTGAAATCTGGACGAATTTTTCTTCGTTAAATTTCAGGTAGTTCGGAAGATGGTGGTGGATTTTGGATCAGCGAGGCTCAGCCTTCTAACTAAAGCTCATTTGTTCTCAAACAATTTGAAATGAATAAGTTATTAAGCAAAAAATAAAATTGCAACACAATTTTTACACTCCTCTTTCTAGGGCTATAACTTCCTTCATATTCGAGCTTCTGCGCCGAAGTGATTTGATTTGGAAAATTCAAATTATTCTCTCTCCAACCATGGTAAAAATTCTTCGAAAGTTAATTTAATAAAAATTTAGTACGTTGTTACTTTTTTCTGTGCAAAGCGACTTTTTGACCTTCAAACGATCATAACTTCCTTCAAAGTCATTCATTTGGGAAGCTGAACACGGTATAATAAACTACAGGATTCAAGCTTTCTAAGAGCACCCAAACGTTCCTGAAAAGTCAGCAGTTCAAAAATTAGTCCCGTTGTTACTTTTTTTGAGGGGTATTCTTCAAGCCATTTTCCCGAAAACGCGGGTTTTCTTAGGTTTCACTGCCCGTAACTTCTTGGAAGACCAATTTTTATGTTCAATTAGGATGTGCTAGAAAGCTCCGAGCATGCGCTTGCACTACATCCCTTGCCTTGGTGCGCGCCACGCCTCGGGCGCCCTTCTAATTCGCTGATTCATTTGAAAGCTCATTTAGAGGGAAGCGTGGTTTATAGATGCTCTAGTATCAGTCATCTTACGAAAACGTAACGTACTGGCTATTATCCGATATTACCAAGAATCCCACTGCCGGCCACCGAGAGAGTACGACCCCCCTCCAAGCTCAACTGAGTACGA